GCTGCACCATACAATATTCAGTCTCCAGCACTTATATTAGCATAAATTTCCATTTTAAAAAGACATCTACATAAAAACACGGATCAGAAATCTTACCTTCTGAAAACTCACCACCTGATGATATGTATGTCATTTTATGTAACTTATTAGTTTCTGAATTATATGTCTGTCTCTTTTTAAAGCTGCTCACTTTCAGATTACAGTGTGTTTCATGAATGGAACCTTCCATCTCACTAATTCTTGTACTATCACACTGCTGGTCAGAATCTAGTGGAAAGTACATAATTAATTAGCTTCATTATTTATTATAATGTACAATATGCTAATAGGATCAACAATAATGAATATGAGGAAGGAGATCAATTGTAACAGTAACTATATTGTCTAAAATCCCCTGAGTGTCACAGAAGAAGAATAGAATGCAATGGTATTTACAGCATTCACAGCACCATCTACAGAAGTAAAATATTGGTACTGCTCAAAATCTCTCTTTAGACATTCTAAAATTGTATGATTTTTCAAGAACAAATTGATTCTACAAACTCCAGTCACTGGAAACCCTAACACTTGGAGGACTTATGTTTTCAAGAAAGAGACCAGTATATGCAACAAGTATAGGCGTGAATGGATAAAAATTTGATTTGTTACAAAGGTCTCTCAGTTACATTTGGGAGTCTCAGAGACTTCAACCTACATCACACGAACTGATTCCAACAAAAAATCTGTAATTCTCCTGCTTCATATTTGGGGCATATGATTTAAATCTTAGCCTGGAGACTAGTTATCCTAAGGTTTTTCATGGTTTTACTCAGGACTTCCCTGCAAATTCTGGGATCAGACCATGTCCACCTTCTTCCATATCCTTTCAAATTCATTATTCATTACTCATCTCATCATTTGATGCTAAGTAATCTGAACTACTGACAGTATCATTAAATAAACCACAAATAAGTAAATAAATAAATACATACAAAAACAATTTTTAGTCACATTCAGCATTTATTTACTTTAGTTCGGAGGTTCAAATAATGAAGAATTATCACTAGATGGAACTGAAATGGTGATGGATATATATTTATTTTCAGTGTTTGTTAATCCCCGAGTATCACTGCATTTTTTATGTGGAATAAAGGTACGTTACATAAACAACTTTAACTATAAACTAATATAATTTCTACAAATAATAAATAAAATTAAATTCTACAGACCAACACACCATGACATATATTTTATGTAAATTCCTTTGCAAACAAAGTAAGAAATATGCATGTGTCAAAAACTCACCTTTATCTTCTACAAATGTAAGTCGTCTTGTAATTCCATCTGATGAAGATTGTGTGTTAGCTCTGTCAGATGTATACCGCACATGATTTCTCTTGAAGGACCAACCTTTCCTAGCATTTCTCACAAAATTCTGATTTTGTCTGAAGCATAAGCACTGTGAAGCATCAGACCAAATCCTCATACATTCTTCTTCTGTTCGGACATGGATATCTTTCTTAGCACCA